AACATGAGGTTTCCACAACCCTCAAAGACGAATTCCTCACCTTTCAGTAGTGCCGGTGTAATCGCTCAGTAGGCTCTGTGTATCTAAGATAGCCTAGAAGAATTGCATACGAATCAAAGTCTAAAGCAACCTAATGCATATCTAAAATCGATGACTTCTCATCAATGACGGATCTATCATTCTCGCGTGAGTCCTCCAACTCTATCATACCGCAGAGCAACTCGCCTTAAGGAGGGCAAAACTGAACACCTGTACGCGGTGCCCTCTACGAACCTGAGAGTGAAATATTCTCCCAGAGCCAAGTTCAGTTAAATTTCGCAATAGCGAAGAAGTTGGCCCACGAGGCAAAAATTCAAATTACTCCACCATGTCAATCTTTCACTCCCAAAGAGTCTGATTCTCAAGTAAGCTTCATCAAGTCTACAAGCACGATCTAGTACATTCTCGTTTCAATGACCCCACATTTAATCGACTATTCTCTAGTCTAAGCTAGCCAGCAAATACACGCCCACGCTGATATTTATACCTGACGGAGGAAGCAAAGCGTGGCGCACAAATCTGGGAGACAGTTCTTTGGGATTGGCGTGAGAGGATTCAGGACAAGTTTACAAGACGATGCAGAAGAGGCATACGTTTTCGACGGGCGTGAAATTTCGAATTTTGGCATGGAGTTTTACGAATTGAGCTTTGTGCGCGCCAAGACTTCGCTTGCGAGAGTGCAGCTGACGCTATAAACGCAAGCCAACGACGAAAGGTGCCGTGGTCCACCTCCTGGTGGAGCTCTACGGTATAGTCTGAGTAGCCTGGGCACCTACTCCACTTGGGAAGGAGACATCTCTGACCATATTTCGCGCGGAGAAAAGTTGTTAGATGATGGAGGCATGTCTGGATAACTCAGGGTTTTTGAGACGTTCCCCTGGGTGGGTATTCACGGATGAGGGTTGACTTGGGCTGAAGAAAAAGTCACCATAACTTCGCAGTGGTACTTGCAAATGAAATCTAAGACATGAGTGCTCTTCCTTTACGTTGAATCACCTACTATATACTTTTCTTTGATATTGTGTCATAGCTAGATAGCTGCATACGCAATTAAAATCTGATGCAAAAAAAAAATGAGGGTATTTCAACCCCAGATCTATAGAGGACGCCGCGTAAAGGTGTTCAGTCTTTCCTCTTTTTTTTATCATTATTTCATGTCACGCTAGCTCACAACACAACTACACTATTTGAAAATTCGAATCTTCACTCTTCCCCTTCTCCCTCCCTCTCGCGCTCGTCGCATTCTATCAAATAATTGTGATCGAGTCACTGGCATTTTCACCATGCCACCTGTTCGAAAAAAGCGTCCCAACGCCACGTTGGACAACACGAGAGTCCACGCGAGGGCTCTCGAAAAATTAACTGGCCTTGTCCAGTCTCCGAAATGCGCGGAGATGAGCAAGGTCTCAAACAAAGGGAAGAAAAAAGCCCTCCCCGCCGTCACTGAGCCCGATACTGACATGATCGGGTCAGTTGAAACTGTAGAGGAATTTCTTCAACCATCCTCCATCCCTAACAGGATCGGAGAATCATCCAAACCTCCTCCGACCGCGTCAGTACCGTCGGAGGATGCTGCACCCAAAGCAGCGCCAAAACCAACGTCGCAGCCAAAAGCTGCCACGAAAGCAGAGTGTCCTCCTATTGTAATAACGAGGTTATGAGAAGTCTAAGAATTGTCACAATAGGTGTAACAGTCAACTTGAGTGGATATAGGATAGCACTTTAAGTCTAACGTGAAGAAGACAGATATATATTGTAGATCTGCTATATTGATGACTATTGAATTTTTTTTTTTGCATCAGATTTAAATTGCGTATGCAGCTATCTAGCTATGACACAATATCAAAGAAAAGTATATAGTAGGTGATTCAACGTAAAGGAAGAGCACTCATGTCTTAGATTTCATTTGCAAGTACCACTGCGAAGTTATGGTGACTTTTTCTTCAGCCCAAGTCAACCCTCATCCGTGAATACCCACCCAGGGGAACGTCTCAAAAACCCTGAGTTATCCAGACATGCCTCCATCATCTAACAACTTTTCTCCGCGCGAAATATGGTCAGAGATGTCTCCTTCCCAAGTGGAGTAGGTGCCCAGGCTACTCAGACTATACCGTAGAGCTCCACCAGGAGGTGGACCACGGCACCTTTCGTCGTTGGCTTGCGTTTATAGCGTCAGCTGCACTCTCGCAAGCGAAGTCTTGGCGCGCACAAAGCTCAATTCGTAAAACTCCATGCCAAAATTCGAAATTTCACGCCCGTCGAAAACGTATGCCTCTTCTGCATCGTCTTGTAAACTTGTCCTGAATCCTCTCACGCCAATCCCAAAGAACTGTCTCCCAGATTTGTGCGCCACGCTTTGCTTCCTCCGTCAGGTATAAATATCAGCGTGGGCGTGTATTTGCTGGCTAGCTTAGACTAGAGAATAGTCGATTAAATGTGGGGTCATTGAAACGAGAATGTACTAGATCGTGCTTGTAGACTTGATGAGGTTTCGGTGGAGATCGATCTCGTTGGGTGGGAGAGTTTGATCTTGTAGAGAGTCTTGGATCATTGCCTTGTAGGCCAACTTCTTTGGTATTTCGAAACTTGACTAAACTTGGGACTGCGAGGATATTTCAACCCCAGATTTGTAGAGGGCACCGCGTACAGGTGTTAAGTCTTTGCCCTTCCGCGCGAAATCCTGATTTAGTGATGAAATGAATTAAGTATTTGGGCGCGTAGTGGCCAAGACTGAGAAGGGATATATGTCTCGGAACGCGAAATTTGGACTTTTTACACGGTTAGACTTGGCATGTCACTGAGGTTTCTTGTACACTTTGGCATAAAGAAAATTTTAAATCTTGGTTGCAAAATTCACGAGTGTCTCTTTGTTCCGACCAAAACAATCTATGTGTGTGAGAGCTTCAGGTTAGGCTTAAACTCGTATTTCTGATAACGTTATGAGTCCTCTTCAAGTGTATAAAACCTCTCATACTTCAGATAATCTAATGATTAATTACACGTAGCAAAGTCAACTATCAGATTACAGCAGCCTGCTGTTGGAGCGTTTAGTTGCCCGAATTATGACCAGTGAATGCGAGGGGTACTATCTCAGTGTTATCTTGAAATGCGGCGTCTCGCCTGCCGTGAGATTTGGCATTTCATTCGGACTCAGAGATTGAGATCCTCAGCACAACAGGTGGGTAAAGCCTGAAGTGAGATGAGGTTTCTGTACTTCATGGCGCTACACCTAGTCTAAGTCGGCCACTCCGGTCTCCCAAGCAAAATCTGGATAACTCGGACACTAATCCCACCTGAGACGAAAGACCGCCGGCTCGCATCGAGCTAAACCCAACCATATTTGACGTGGTGCTGGTGTCCATGGGCGACGAAGACATGCTTGGATAATCAAAGGTTTTGACACGTCCCTTTGTTGGATACTCATACAGGAGGGTCGACTGTTTGTGTAAGCAAACATACCTCTTAGTGGTATTTGCGAATGGAATCTTGGGCATGACTGTCTTCAACGTCAAAAGAATCATCCAATATGTATGTATAGCACTGAAATTTGTCATAGCTAGATAGTTGAATACACCTAAATTATTCAAAAATAAGAAAATTCGTCACTGCTCGCGACAAAACTCCTGACATGAGTTCGGATATCACCAAGTGCCTAACACGTAAATTCAAAAACAAGCCCTACGATGGACATCGCCTCGTTAGTCGGAAAGCGGAGATTGTAATGGGCAAGACTCAAATTATTACACCAATCGAGCGCACTAAGAGGGTGTTCCAGTTGAAAGGAAGATCTAAAGAAGATGCAAGAATATTTCTTTTACTAGATGCAAAGGTATCCTCAAGCTGTAACCAGAGATGAACTTTATGTCCCTTGTGGTCATGGACTTAAGATGAATATAGTTCATGACTTTACAAATTCTGCATGGAGTAATTCATCAGAGGTGACTCTGACTTATGTAATCTCTATGAATAGAGTTTTAGGTTTTCTAGTGAAATTACGAAAGTTGACTGACACGGAACTGATAGGCACAATGTGAAGAGTTCCTGGCGCCCTTTATTTCTAGGATAAACGCCATCGGTTGCTGGTTAAGTGAGGTCGCATGATTGCCCTAAGGTAGAGCGAGCTTTGTTTAGATTAAAGGTGTAAGTTGGAAAGATACTGGCAGCATTGTCTTGGTTGAATTTAATTAGCGTGTGGCTATAAACTGAGACACTCGGTACTGAGCCTTATAATCCTGAACAGTAATAATTTTTATAACCATATACCGGATGAAAATGTTTTTTAATGATGTAGAAGTGCTTTTGCGTCTGTTTAAAATCTAGGATGCAAGTTGATTTAATGGCTTCTACCAAACATATGCAGGGGTGGGAGATAAGTAGCAACACACAAATTGGAGCAGGTGAGTATGCGTGAGTAAGATTTTTGAATGTTAATCGGCGAAAGATACTGTTGGTAATAATCGTTTCGCAAATTGATTTTTACAAACATCTTTCAAACAGATCCAATTTAAACAAGTACGCCACACATATCGCAGCCAGGTCACGAGAAGGCTTCCTCGTAGTATTCTCCTTATATCAGGAGGTGGAAAGTTCCAGAAAGTTTGCTAAATACCATGATGCGCACGTGCTCGGCCTCCAGGTGAGGTTTGACGAGTCTTCAAAGCCGACAGACCTAAACCCTTAATCACAACTCGAAAAACCATAGCCTTGACACGGAAATCATGCGCTCCGACGATTGATGCGGCTGATATAAGTTCGATTGCACATGCCGAAATCTTCATCAATTTTTCCTCACGCCAAGCTTGTGGTTAGAGAAAGATCCCAATATACCGTGCATACATGGATCGATGAGTAGTGAGCTACACTTCAATTTATCCTACTCTCTAACACTGGTACTGAGTTAGTATTCATTTCAGCCAGTGTGCACCTGTCATAAATTTCTACTGGGTCTTGAGAATACTGAAATGAACTTCTTCAAGGCGCCTACAAAGTCAGCCCAAAAACCAGACACGAAAATATCTACGGCAAAAAAAGTCGATCAAAAATCATCCTCGAAAGCAGGTAACAGCGAAAATAATATCTCGTCCCGAGTTCGGTCGCCATCTAAAAACATCTCGTCTAAGGCTAAAGTATACAGGTCTAAAAGCGATAATCATAAATACGATCAGAATCCTACTCGAGATAGTCCCATCAATCTTAAAACATCAAGCTCGCCACATTCCCCGGTTGATATCAAGTCCCATCCTTTGAACCTTCATATAGATCAACTCCGAAAATCCTCTAAATCAACCAGGATGTCATGCCCAGAGCTGATGGAAGAGGACCATGAAGCTCAAAGCCCAGTACCTACCACACCAAAGCGTAGCTCGTCTGGGGGTGTCGAGACATTAACTAAAAATGGAGTATCCTCCCCATTGAATGGAGAAGGACCAGCACCACCTCCCCACAGAACAAATCTTACAAACCCACCTAGCATTTCACCTTCAGTAATGCAAGAGGCAGAAAACTATAAAAATGCTGGTAACAAGTATTTTAAATCTAAAGAATACAAAAATGCAATTGATGAATATTCTAAAGGTCGGCCTATCTATCACAATTAAGGTTCAATAAAGAAGCTGACGGCCATACCCATTCTAGCTGTCCTACTTCACCCAACATCCGCTACATACCTTAACAATAGAGCTGCTGCATACATGTCAAATGGACAGTATATCAACGCGTTAGAAGACTGCACACAGGCCAATGATCTAGACCCCCAAAACGCAAAGATACTCCTCAGACTTGCTCGAATCTACACAAGTCTTGGCCGGCCACAGGATGCTTTAGATACATATAACCTTATCAAGCCACCTGCATCAGTCAAAGATCTTGCTCCCGCTAAAGCCATGTTGCAACACATTCAGAGTGCTGAAAACGCTCTAAAGAATAGCACAAATGGATCAATGGTATTGCACGCTCTCGACCAAGCCGAAAAGATTCTTGGCCCTGGGGTATCTAAGCCTCGAAAATGGCAGTTAATGCGAGGAGAGGCCCATTTAAACATGGGAAACGCTAATTCTTCAGGGGACGCACAAAATATTGCCATTTCTTTGCTTCGGAACAACAGTGCAGACCCAGAAGCACTAGTCCTACGAGGAAGAGCCCTTTACACGCTTGGTGAAAACGAAAAATCAATTCAACATTTTCGGCAGGCCTTAAGCTGTGATCCCGACTATAAAGACGCCCTCAAATATATGCGCATGGTCCAGAAGCTCGAACGTATCAAAAGCGAGGGAAACGTTGAATACAAGTCAGGTCGGTTCCAGGGAGCTAGTGACAAGTATTCTGAGGCTCTTGACGTTGACCCTTCAAACCGGGGGACAAATTCAAAGCTACTACAGAATCGAGCTCAATGTCATTTAAGGATGAAAAATTATGACGCAGCTATCAGTGACTGTGAGCGTGCTATAAGCTTAGATCCCACATACACAAAAGCAAAGAAAACAAAAGCTACTGCTATTGGCCAATCTGGCAACTGGGAGGCAGCTGTCCGTGAGTGGAAAGAAATGCAAGAATCGGACCCCCACGATCCCACGTTACAGAAAGAAGTAAGAGCTGCCGAATTAGAACTGAAGAAAAGCAAACGGAAGGACTACTATCAAATCCTAGGTGTAGACAAAGGTGCTGACTCTGGTCAAATCAAGAAGGCATATCGGAAGGCTGCAATAGTCCACCATCCGGACAAAAATCCAGATGACCTAAATGCTGCTGAAAGATTTAAAGATATTGGCGAGGCATACGAAACACTCAGTGACCCAGAGTAATCTAACGATCTTACTATTTTAAAGAAATACCTGCTAACAGTGACTCAGGAAACGTGCGCGATACGATAGTGGTGAAGATTTGATGGATCCTATGGAGAGTTTTGGTGGTGGGATGCACGGTGGAGGAATGCGAGGTGGGATTGACCCTGAAATTCTGATGCAGATGTTTGGCGCCCAGATGGGCGGTTCTCAAAGCAGTGCAGGAGGGTTTCACTCTTTCACAGGGACTGGAATGCCAGGTGGGGGGGCTCGGTCTCGAGGCTCACATCATGGCTTCCAATTTCAATAATTATGCACCAGCATTGAAGAAGCGCAGTGATATGTATTGAGTTACCCCTAAAATTTGTATATTCCGAGTAAATTCTTGGACACTGTTACTGGTGTCATCGATAGACAGCAATTCCTGTCTCTTGAGTCATACTATTAAAATTGAGTAAACAAACCCGACATCCAAGGTAAAGATGTCGCACAAGCTTCAAATGCTCTAATAAAAAGTTCTAGCCTGTGTTGACACGATTTGAAGGTTCGGGTTCTAAGATTAATTTTGTTGAAGTCAGGTCATTTGTCAAATTTAACGAAATAATGCGTGAACCCGATCGAAAGAACTTAACCTTACGCGTTGTAGAGCGTCATGAAACGTAAATTGCTGTAACCGTCATGGTCCCTCAAAATTTAACACAAAAAATACCTAGCGCGCCGGTAAACCCATCTGCCGAAACCTCACAATTAATAACCAGGTGGGGTCTGTAGAAGATACCCAATCCCAGAGATTTCGTCGGCACACGCCGTCAAGTTAGAACTTACAATCTCATTGCGAAATTTTTGACGCGATTCAGATTACGAGCCACAGCCACTATCCCTTCACCTCACGGTCCCACTCCCATTTCCTGAGAATTATGGCTCGATAGCAAAGTCTTCATTCTGCGTACTGTGATTTGTGATACTTGAATGAACAGAAGAATTTGCTAAAGAATCGAAATCTCGAGACACTCTGCCTGACTTGAAGCATTGTAGGTATGGATTTACAGGTGAGCAATGTGGAATACATAATCATGGTGGGGGTATCGAGAATTTTTTTGCAAAGACCCTTCTGTGTGTTCTACTGACATTTACCTCCCTAGGTGGAAAATGCGATCGAGATCGCATGGAATCCAGATTCTAATCCTGAGTTTAAATCGCAAGCATTCAATTTTCTCAACCAATTGAGATCCAACGCGTCTGGTAGACAAGCATGTATAAAATTATTCACAAAATCTCCAAAGTGCTCCGATGTCGTGCGTTTAGTTTCTCTTGATTTAATCAACAATTCACTTCAAAATCAGCAGTTGGACTCCCAAAGTCTCGATGAGATAAAGACAACCATACTCGAATATACGCATTTAACGTATGGCTCTGCCAACCAAGAAAATATTGATCCGGCTCATCTACAAAACAAATTGACACAAACCTTGACGCTATTATTCGTCATAACATATCAGCATGGCTGGGAAGGTTTCGTGGACGAAATTTCGCGCTTGACAAGCCTTCAATGTGGCGGATCAAGGGACAATATGAGTGGCACTGTACTTTACCTAAGAGTCCTTGGATCTATTCACGACGAGATAGCTGATGTTATTATCACTCGCTCCAACGAAGATGCCAAACGCAACACTGAGCTAAAGAATACTTTGCGTGTTCGCGACGTCCCAAAAATCGTGGGGTCTTGGCAAGAAATCCTTTCATATTGGCAAGACCGCAGTGATGCTGTTGTTGAGATATGTCTGAAGGTTATAGCGAAATGGGTCAGCTGGGTTGACATTTCATTGATTGTGAATCAAAGTCTGTTGAACATTCTCTTTCAGCTTGTTGGGCGAAACAACCTGCACAACAAGGAAGACAAAGTCCGCAACGCTGCGATTGACACTCTTTCCGAGATTGTGGCCAAAAAAGTGAAGCCCTCAGACAAAATTGACATAATAATCTTCCTGAATCTGGGAGAGATGATTTCTCAGCTTATAGCAAGCCCACCCCTAAATGAACTACGAATGACCTCAAGCTATGATACTGACTTAGCAGAAGCTGTTGCAAAGCTCATCAACAATGTGGTAGCTGATATTGTTAAGGTCCTAGAAGATACTCAGGTACAGACTGAAGTTCGAGCACAGGCCGAGCAACTTGTACAATCATTTCTACCGTTGTTACTACGTTTCTTTTCTGATGAATATGACGAGATATGCTCTACAGTCATTCCCTCTCTCACTGAACTTATCTCATTCCTACGCAAATCAAAGCCCCTCTCTTCCTCATACTCTAGTATGTTAACACCGATTCTCAACTCAGTCATCCAAAAAATGAGATACGATGAAACGTGCTCATGGGGAAACGAAGATGATCAAACGGATGAGGCTGAATTTCAAGAGCTTCGTAAGAGACTTAAGATTTTACAAAAGGGTGTAGCGGCCGTAGACGAATCTCTCTATGTAGAGGTACTAAGTAACGTAGTAGGAAACACATTTCAAAGGCTTGATCAGGTGGATAGCCTCATAGACTGGCGAGACCTGGATTTAGCACTGCATGAAATGTATTTGTTCGGCGAACTTACTTTGATTAACGGCAGTATATACTTTAAGAGTCAGCCATCAGGGCCGGCTGCTGAACGCCTTATTGCCATGATGACAAAGATGGTTAACTCAGGTAAGCACCGGGCAAGTTTTAACTACATGATTAGAAGCTTATCATCTTAAGGGATTACTTCTTTTAACCACCCTGCTATACAACTTCAGTATATGGAGATTTGTGTTAGATATTGCTCGTTCTTTGAATACCACACTATGTATATTCCTTACGTTCTTGAGCATTTCGTTCGGTTTGTACACCACAAGCATGTTAGGGTTCGCACTCGATCATGGTATCTATTTCAGCGTTTCGTAAAGCATCTTCGAATTCATATCGACAGAATCGCTGAAACGGTGATTGAATCGGTGCGCAACCTTTTAACCATTAGCGCTGAGATAAAGAACGAGCACACTGATGGGGATGTTTCATCGGATGAGAACGACCAGATAGAAGATCCAACTTTCACTGCGCAGCTATATCTTTATGAGGCTGTCGGATGTATTTCTTCTATTCCAGCTATTCCAATTGAGAAGCAGGCCTTTTATGTCCACACAATTTTTGACCCTCTATTCTCGGAAATTGAAAAGAATTTAGCACAGGCAAAATCTGGTAATTTACAAGCAGTACAGCAGATTCATCATGTTATTATGGCCCTCGGGACCTTCTCTCATGGGTTTTCAGAGTCTCTTCCGAAGAATACAGTAATCGCAAATCATGTTCCAGATAGAAGTTTATCGGAACAGTTTGGCCGGGCTGCCGAAGCAATTTTAATTGCTCTTGAAGCACTCAAGTCATCATTTGAGATCCGAACAGCGGCTAGGGCCTCGCTTTCGAGACTTATGGGGGTACTTGGAGCTGATATGCTACCATTTCTGCCTAGATGGATCGATGGCCTCTTATATGCGAGTTCTTCTAAAGAAGAGATTGCCTTATTCCTACGCTCACTAGATCAAGTTATATTTGGATTCAAGAAAAAGGTTTACGTTGTCCTTGACTCTTTACTAACTCCTCTCCTGCATCATGTCTTTGCCAGTCTTGCCGAACCAATTACTGGGACTGATGATGAAATCCAACTGACGGAGCTTCGACGGGAATACCTCACGTTTATCCAGATAATTCTGAATAATGAGCTGAGTAATGTGCTCATCAGCGATCGAAATCTGGCCTATTTTGAGTCGCTGATTCTATCTGTCACTAGTCTTGCAGCGATTGCCAGTTCTAACAGTGCAGGAAATATTGCTCCTATTCGCATGGCTTTTGTCATTATGACGCTGATGACACAACTTTGGGGAGGTCTAGACCAAGGAAATGCTAACGGTCAACCTGCTACAAAATCGACCTTGCCACAGTTTGCCTTTCCAGGATTTGAGAGAGTTTTAGTAGAAAGATTCCATCCTATATGCTGGGATGTAATGCGGAATTCTACATTTAAGCCTGATACTGATGCAAACTCGAAACAAATACTTCATGAAATAGCCGGATTAGAGAACGCCATTTATAAAAAAACGGGGCACCTATTCCTTCAACATCTTCAACAAGAATTTTTTCCTTCTATTGGCGTAGACGGCAGCGAGTTTATTCAAGTCTTGTCAAATGGCTCGGATCGTAAGGATCTTGTGAAGTTTCTACAAGGGTTCGTAAAGCAGTTACGATGAGTGATTAGATGAGGCGTGCGCGGTCTGTTTGGGTGCCTGGTATTTTGTAGGCGTTTAGGACTCTTAATTGACGAGCTTGCCCGTAGCTACGTCATCATATTAAGTAGATAAAAGATGAATATTAAATCAAAGAGTAAATAGAGCTTCGAACATTATTCATATCTCGCAGCTAGGACTATAATCCTTATCTTTAGCTACATGGGAATAAATCGCAAGTCACTGGACATTGATGGATCAACGTTTCGCCCGAGAAGGCTGAGGGCAGTAAGTAAAGATAGTCAATGGTTTTGAGTCAGCAATCCTCATCCTGAGCTCTCCTCCGCCAGCGTACTTGCCCTAGCATTCATCCTAAAACCCGTTCTTGCATTTAGCCCAGAATTAGGATACGTCCAGCCTACCGAAGCAGCCTGTAACCCATGCAAAGTTTTTAAATTTCTCTAACCCTTTATGTCCGAGGAGTTGCCTGGTAAAAGCATCTAAGCTCAAGTCTTTTCTAAGTTTACGCGTCAGAATATTGTATCTCCGACAGCGAGTGAAGTGGGTGGGCGTCTTTTCTAGCCCACAGCTACAAACTAGATTTGCATCTTCGTGCTTGAAGCGACGGTGATACGCCGCAAAATCCCCATGCCCTTTTAACTAACACTAGTTTGCTACTAAGGCCCTTTAAGTTTGATTTTGATTTTATTATCCTAATTTGGCGTCACATGAGCCCATGCGAATGTTTATCGACTGTAAATTTTACAAGGGAGGAAAGCTTACCCTAAAGACCCCCCAGTCCTTTCTGTAAATTGTCTTTGGTTTTCCTTTTTGTTCATGAGGATGCGCGGTTACACTAAATTGGCATCCATGTAAGCCAATCAAAACCAATCCTTTGATACCAACAATTGTTCGTCCTGCTTCTTTCCCTTGCTGGCATTGTCACTGTCTTTTTAGTCTGAAACTGCTCCGTCCAACCATGGTTTAAAATCTACACTGCAATTCTTAAGATTTCGTCAGGATTATTTATTTTGGCGCCGTAGCACCGATTCTTGACTTCTCTCAAAACCTTTCCTCTACCATTTGACCACCGAGGGCACGACAATATCGCGTGAACGTGCTTCTGTTATTCATATTCACATGGAAAATCTGATCTGTCTAGTCCGGCCACTGTCCTCTTGTAGAAACACGAGTCGAGCCGTATGTGCTCACGTCAAACTGCGTTACTAGACTATTTTGTGTCCATGTCAAGCTTATTTCTTCATAAATCAAACTTAAGTTGTCGATAACCTGAAGTTTGTAATACCTTCATTGAATTGTTCTAATTTCTTTTGGACTCGGCACTACACACTATATAAGTACAAACAGCACGATATCATTACATTATCAGAGCCTATCTCACACGACATACCCACTCTCTTCCCCCCTGCAACTTGTGCTGATACCGGCTCAAGGAAAGCTAGCTGATGAAAGGTATAACACCATTGACCAACGTAAGTTTATATTCTTGCTGTTGATACAACGGTGTTCACTCGCTTTAATGCCCTCAAACTGCTAGTAAAAAATTAGTATATCTGTGTCTATCTTCCTCGCCTGTGATGTCCAGATTATAGGAGGACAAGACTGAACACCTTTACCCGGTGTCCTCTACGAACCTGGGAGTAAAATATTCTCCTAGAGCCGAGATTCAGTCACGAAAAAGAGTGGGATGAATTTTATTTGATGGATTTTCGACCTGAAGGAGTTGCACTCGATATTTTGGTCAAAAAATTAGTCGGCAGAGATTTTATAGCCGGCACAAAGTTGAACAAAAACTCATCACCATTAACATACGATTCACGAATGGGCCTAGGTCTGTCTGGGGGTCGTATTCGAACATCCGACATCTCTCAAACTCCATTTATATTTGCGACAAAGCATTTCTCAGTCGATCCTATACCTGTGACCCACTTCCATACTAGTCAGATCACCTACCTACACACACCCTAATTAGGAAAGTCATGATGGAAACGGGACGTGTACAAGGGAGGAAGAAGAGAGAAGATACATCGAGGGAACTACATAAATCCCCAATAACGAAAACAACCTAACGGTACGATATGAAGGTGCAAGGCTAGAGCAACGATGAGATCTTGGACGGCATTTCTATTTCGGAGTCAATGAGGACGTCAAGGTCTCGGGCGCGTGGTGGCCGAGGCTGAGGAGGAAATTGCGCTACAGCGTGTATACAGCGGGTTTCTGGACGGTTGGGCTTGGTATGATTCAACACATAGGTGAAGTCTAAAGTGGTCCGCTTATTTAAGTGGGACGAGGTTTATCTGTGCTTCACCGTAGCTAACCTGATCCGGCCCGACCCCACTCATGCTCAAGCTCCAGCAGGAGTGCAACGGGAATCACTATACCTAGCACGTTAATGAACAAAATAAAACAAACAATCCCTACGCCAGGGAAATTTGAAATTTGGCAAGGATTTTTACGAATTGAGCTTTGTGCGTGCCAAGACTTCGCTTGGGAGAGTGCAGCTGATGCTATAAACACCGCCATGGTTGGATGGTGCGGTCGTACATCGTCTTGGCCGGTCTGCCAAGTAGAGTCTGGATAGCTTGGACACATATCCCACTCAAGACAGTAGATCGCTGGATCAAATCCAGCAAAACACAACCATATTTCTGGCGGCGCTGGTATGCATGGATGACGAAGGTATGCTTGGATAATCAAAGGTTTCGAAATTCCCTTTGGTGGTGTAAGGATTCTTGAGAAATCCCTCAGGCAGGATCAATGGGTTCCTTATTTAATCCCACTAGTCTTTATTGCTTAGCGAGGGCACCTATGTAGTTTCCATTTCCGAGACTGATATCTTCACGCTTTGTTTTCTGTCTTTAGGAATAGTTACATTATTCTAATCACATCTCACTCTCGTCCTTTGCCAAACATAGTGACCTACTGTCACCTCCGGCTCCTCTATCTAGAACGACTCCCCGCTTTCCCTTTTACCACTTCTCTTGAAAACCCTCCGCGTTACCACGAGGCGTCCTTCCTCAGTACATCCTACGCTACGCCCTCTCCTACGCCTCGAGTCCTGCGCCTAGTGAACCTGCGCCTGACAGGTGGGTACTCATGGAGGAGGGTCGAGTGTTTGTGTAAGCAAGCATACCTCATAGTGGTATTTGCGAACGAAATCCAGAGTATGAGTGTCTCTAACGTCAAAAGAGTCATCCCACATGTATACATAGCACCGTTTATATGTTATAACTCTATAGCTAAATACACATTAAATGATTTTTTTTAAAAAAAAAGTGACAAACCGACACTAACCGCCCCATCCTTTTAATATTTACCTTTGCTGAGACCTCTTTATTCTCAGTCAAAAATTATTTGCGCGGTTGGGAAAAGGTATCGTTTTTGACTTGGATTACAAGGCATAAGCTGTCATGTAGAGACATGATTCATTCATGAGTTGATATTGTTCAGACGATCATGACTATATCACAACGTCATGTACAGGCACGATTCATTGTTTGTACCTGTTGTATCAACCATGACTATGTCTCAGTGATAGGAGAAACATCATTGACTAGTTACTAGAAACCTAGTCAATATTCTAAACACACAACTGAGACTAGGAGAATTTTACTGAGTAAGTAATTATTCTGATGAATCTAGATCTGGAGGAACATAATCTGGTTGCTTGGCTCGAGGTATATGAACCTGAGCATATCATGTATAATAAACAATATAGAAATCTATCTCAATCACAATCATCATCTTAATTCATATCACCATCAATAGCTGCAAAGGACAGTTTAACCATTTCCTTATACAAGCTGTATAGTTGGAAGGCTATGTTTGCTGAAGATAGGTCCTTCGAGCTCAGTTCTTTGTCTGTGATACCAATTAAGGAAAATCTATTTGTTAGAGTGAAATGAGAATCGTTATATTGATAAAGAATTCATGAAATTACTATAAATGTTTCCTGTCTCGTATACATCACTCGTAGGCCATCAGTGATTCAGCTCCGTAGAGCCAATACTACAGGTGCTTATGGGTGAAAAAGGTATTTTGGTTAAAATGACTGGGTTACGATCCCTATAAATATGTATTTGATTGGCTTGGTTCTCATGTAGGCCCATGTCTAGCTCGTCCACTAGTGTTGCGAGCAAGGGCACGAACCAATAATATTCCGTAAAAGTCAAAATTAATGGGGATGGTTTCCAACTTCAAAAGAAAGGTATATGGGTCTTCATTAAAAAATTAAAAAACCAGTTCACATTATCTAAAAATATACATCAATATCAAACATTATTGCGCCGGCAAAGACGAATTCTTCATCTTCCAGTGGTGCCGGTGTGATCGCACAGTATGCTCTGCATATCTGGGATAGCCAAGAAGAATCGCATCCAAATCGAAGTCCAAAGCACTCGCAAGCACATCTAAAATCGACGACTCATCGTCAATTTCCGACCTATCATTCTCACGCGAGTCCTCCACCTCAATCTTACTACACCACCTCGCCTCAAATACCGATAATGGCCTTACTCCAATTGCAATCGGGCATTTGCCTCATCACATTTACGATGCTATGTATACCCGCGACGAGGGAATTAAGTCATAATCTACAAAGCTCGGGTCTAGGTCTATGGGGGACCGTTGCTCTAACGGGGCTACACATCTCGAGGGAGGATAGGCAGCTGGGACGTGGGACGAACGAGTGAAGAGGTCACAAATGGGCATGCTAGGACGCACATTTTTCGAGTGTCTTCGACTTGAGGGTGTGTGTGTGGGTGCAGAAGTAACGATTTCGGATAGTGCAACCGACACTCTGAAAATAGGCAACGATGGAAGGTGTTTTGGTCCGCCTCCTCGTCGGAATCTCCCCGAATTAAAGTGTGGGTAGCCTGGACACCTACCTCACTCGAGAAAGGGAGGACTGTGAGGCCATATCTCGCGCGGCAGCTATATACAAGATGGCAAAGGCATGTTAGGGTAGCCAAAGATTTTTCCTGTTTTCCCTTTGATGGATATTA